CGATTCTTTCTTTACCTGAAGAAGTTGAAGACTTCGCAGTTTATAGCAACGCATCTAGAGTTGGGTTAGGTTGTGTTCTGACCCAAAGGGATAAGGTGATAGCATATGCATAGAGACAATTGAAAGAACATGAAAAGAAATACCCCACTCATGATCTAGAGTTGGCAGCGGTAGTATTCACCCTAAAGATATGGTGACATTATCTTTATGGAACAAAGTGGACACTTCTCACTGATCATAAGAGTCTACGGTATCTATTTAATCAGAAGGAATTGAACATCAGACAATGATGCTGGCTAGAGTTGCTTAAGGATTATGACTATGAAATACTTTACCACCTTGGTAAAGTGAATGTTGTAGCTGACGCTTTAATCAGAAAAATGAGCCTTGAAAGGAAAACACCAAGAGCTTTAAGAATCGAAGTTGTCTCAACAATTGTAGAAAGCATTAAGAAAGCTAAGATAGAAGCTTTAGAGAAAAATAACTGAAAAGAAGAATGTTTGGGCAAAACTTTAGTGTTCGATACAAACGGTCAAGGACTGAAGGTATTCCAAGATAGGATTTGGGTACCTAAAATAGGAGGAATAAGAGATCTTCTATGGAGGAAGCTCACAAGACCATGTACTCGATTCATCCCAGCAGCACGAAAATGTATAGGGATCTAAAACCCTATTGTTGGTGGCCGATGAAGAAGCTTAATGTCGCAAAGTATGTGGCCGAGTGTGTGACATGTGCGAGGGTTAAGGCATAACATCAGAAACCGTATAGGAATTTAGAACCTTTAGTTATTCCCATTGGTAATTGGGAAGACATCACCATTGATTTTGTGACTAAACTCCCCAGAACGAAGAGCGGTCACAACATGATTCGGGTAGTCGTTGATCGGTTTACTAAAAGTGCACACTTCATAGCAGCCAATGAAAAATGGTCTATGGATAAGCTTGAAAATGCTTACGTGAAAGAGATAGTGAGACTTCACGGTGTTCCTTTAACGATTGTATCAGATTGTGATAGTCTTTTCACGTTAAGGTTTTGGAGAAGTCTACAAGAGGAATAGGTACGAAATTATGTTCAAGTACAGCTTACAACTGATGGTTAGAGCAAATGAACGATTCAAACATTGGAGGATATGCTGAGAGCACGTACCCTGGAATTCTAAGGTAACTGGGAAGAACATTTACCTTTGGTAGAATTTTCCTACAATAATAGTTTCCACTTGAGCATTAAGTTGGGGCCTTATCAAGCTTTGTATGGAAAAAAGTGTCAAACGCCGTCATGTTGGCTTAAAGCTGGAGAAAAGCAGTTTATAGGACCTAAGATAGTTCCTCAGACTGCTGAAAAGTTGAAAGTGATTAGGGAAAGGATGTTAGCATCTCAAGATCATCAAAAGAGCTATGCTGACAAGAAATGACAACCGATAACATTTGAAGTTGGAGATTCGGTTTTACTTAAAGTCTCTCCATGGAAGGGACTTATAAGACTTGGTAACAGGGGAAAGTTGAGTCCAAGGTTTATTTGACCGTTTAAAGTTCTTCAGAAGATTAGGAACGAAGATTGCTAGCTAGAATTACCAGAAGAACTAGATGGTATTCATAACAATTTCTGTGTGTGTTATTTGAGAAAGTTTACGAGAGAAGTTCCCGATATACTTCCAATTTCTGAAATAAGGTTGGATGAAAGCAAAAGGTTAATTGAAAAACCGGAGGCAATCGTTGACCGTAATACTAAGAAGTTGAGACGGAAGATGGTCGATTTCGTGCTTGTGCGATGGAAACATACTAATGGGCCAAATCTCACCTAGGAAACGGAGAGTGACATGATGAGTCGCTAACCGCATTTGTTTGCTGATGTATGATTCCGGGAACAGAATCATCTTAAAGGGAGAGAATTGTAACGCTCATGTTTCTAGGCTAGGCATTAATGATGATGCAATAGTCTATGTCAACCTTTGTAACTTGTTTTTAAGTAATAAAGATGTATTATTTGAGTATTATGTGCTTATATTTAATTATTATGATTTTATTAATTAAGGATAAAAATAAGCGTAGAAAATAAATGCTAGATAAACCCGATATCTATGAAGAAAGTTGTAGCGGTTGAAACAAGGATTCCGGAGATATAAAGAATTCTGAATCAGAGTTATAACGGAGAAGTTATGACATGCCGAAGTTTCACGATAGAACCGACACAACGCTATATGACGTAAAAAGTAAATTTACGATAAAGTGATTTTTAGCCTTAGCGATCTAAATCAAAATTGTAGTATACGTTAAACTGAGAGTGTGCATAAAAAGAAATGTCCAAATCTAACTTCGTATGAGGAACTTATGAATTTTCTAAGATTTGATATAGAAGTATGCAGCCCGAAACTCGAATTTTAAATCGACCAATTTTTAGCCGACACAACCTAAACGATAATCGAAGATCTTGTCAATTGTAGTTTAAAGGTAAAAAGACAGACAAAAACAGACGTCGGATGAAGAAGTTATGAACTTTTAACGGAATTTTCTTGTCACATCCAGTTAAAAATATAACTTAAAAAATAAAGTCAAAATTAGCCGACGGAGTCTGAACGAAAGTTGTAGAGCACAATTTCAACTATGCGTGGATATAAAGAACGTCAAAAATGGAGTACATATGAGAAAGTTACGAATTTTTGAATTTTTGGGCACAAACTTCAAGTGTGGTCCGAAAGAGTACGCCCAGCGTACTCGTGCAAGTGATCCAGAGTCCATCACCCCCTACTCCTTCGCATCACCTCCTTACTCCTATGTGTATAAATATTGTTTGTTTATTTGAGATGGATGTTGAATGAAGTTTTTATACATGTTTAGAATGATTTAAACTGTATATGGATTTTTGTCTACAAATATGTTGGGTATAACATGGGTAGATGAAATAGTTGATGTCTGTTTAAATGATAAAAGGCCTCGATGTTGTTGTTTCAGTCATCTAGCAGAGTATAGATGATGACCATGGATTATTATAGACTGTCCTGTGCAACGCTAGCAGGCTCGCAACCTGTAGGTGTTTTTGAACTCAGTGTTCGTTAGTGTACTCCATCCCCCCCCCCCCCCGATTGCCTTATTTGACATGTATTGCTGAGGAATCCCCTAAGCAATGTTGTCGTCCTGATGATAATCATTAGACTAGGTCCCTTGTGATAGGTGTTTAGGGATGTAAAGTGAGGATAATGGGAACGAGTAATCAGGGATCACTACTAGAATATAGGCCTTTAATGACGCGCAAACAATGACATGCGGTGATTTACGATACGCAAAAGTGTGTACCCTAAAAATAATGTCATCTCCCAAAAAATATGAAGGATTTTGGACGCGCACTTTTTGCGTGACCTAAAATTACTGTCAGAAAAAAAACTCGGAGGGCACCCATTATGAAAAGCGTGACGTGCAGGCATGTCGCTTTATAATTTAAAAAAAAAAAAAAAACACGGAGGGCACCCATTAAAAAGGTGCGTCGTGCAGGCATGTCGCTTTATAATTCTTAAAAATGAACGCGCTTCTTATAACAAAGTCGCAGGGGATCTAGGGTTTTTTTAAAATGTTGATCTCTATTCACTACATCTGCTCACTTCTGCTTATCTCCACTCACCTCTTCCCACTGGCGACCTCCGCTCACCTCTTCCTGCCGGCAACCTCGAGCTCACCTCACCTCACCTCACCGAGACTGTAACGACTGCTCAAGTTTACAAGCATTTGTTTAAGAGCCAACCATTTTCGGATCCTCACGCTTACAAGACTACGATTTAGGGCTTGTTACATTGTGCTTGTGTCAGAATTAGAAGGAGATTTAGGGCTTTACAACTTCTCCCTATCGCCATCTATGAACTAATGAAGCCCTAGATAGGTACGATTCAAGCATCGTCTAAGGTAAAGTTGGTAGTGCCTCCTCCAAAAATAAATCGCAATATATCTTTGTTGTTCCTCCCCGTCAAGGAGATTTAGGGTTTTACAACTTCTCGCTCTTTTTTTCTCTCGATATTTCTTCTTCATTCTCCCCCCTTTTTTTCTCTTGATATTTCTTCTCCATTCTCTTCTAGTTATGTTATGTGGTTAATTTGTTTATACATATACTTGATACTTGATAACTATGTGTTGTCAGGTTTCTATTTCATCCCTGAAGCATTGAGTATTGAAGAACAATGCAGATGGATTAAGGAGAGCTATGACTTTCCTGAAGCAACTTGTAATCTGCTCCACACATTACATTCTGACTTTCTTGAAGCAACTTGTAATCTGCTCCACACAATACAGGTGTTTCTTGCACTTACATTTTAGCCCTTTTTTCATGAATCAACTTGTAATTTCTCTATGACTTGCTAATTGAACAATTTTTGACACTTTTATTTTCCTAGTGTGTATGTGGCTGGGATGACTTGAAAAGAAGGTTTATTAAGGTTGAAAATATACTCAGAAGACAAATCAAGGTTTTGACAATATTACATTTTTAGCCTTTTGGTCTTGTTATACCATAGCTGATAGTTTGAATGAGTTTACTTCTGATTTATTGCTTATTTGGTTTCTAATTATATATATATATATATATATATATATATATATATATATATATATATATATATATATATATATATTTATGTAGGTTGATGCTCACAGCAACCTTAGGAACTTGATGAAGGCTCAAGGATTGGTTTAAGACCCCACAATTAAATACCAAGTGTAACGAGTTACCTTTCTAATTAAAAATGTTTTGTTGTAGATTAAAAACAACAAAGTACCGGAATGACATCATATTTTTAAACTTGAAACAAATAATGTCTTTTACAATTCTGTAAAGGGTTAAATGCAAGAAATAGAAACGTACTTTCTTGCATTTTATGTGAGAAGTATAAGGTTCAATTCTCAAAATCAAAATCAGACTCCATTGTTTCATTCTTTCTAGTTAATATGTTGCTGTCTCTACAGAGTACTTTATCTGTTCAGTTTGACGACTTATTTTAAAGAGCTTGGGAAGAGGATGTTATGGAAGTTCCCATTGATGGTATGTGTGATTCAACTCTTTTCCTCCAATTATTCTTCCCTTCTTTTCGGGATTTAGACCACTATTAAACTGAATGGAATCCAATTCCAGTGGTTTGAGTTTGACAATGGAATGAGGGAATGATTGTTGGATTAATCTAGTATCTGACATTTCCGATATCCGGTTTAGAACACAAACACCCTTACTCCTCTTTTTTATATCTTTGTATTATGACTATGAGTATCTTTTTGTGGGAGGTTGATAATGATAACATTTCTCATCGTGTAGGAGATACAGCTGAGTTAGAAATGAATGTTATTGAATTGGGGTTTCCAAAATCTGTTCCATTAGAAGATGAAAATAAACCGGATTCACTTGACACTGAATCATCTGTTATTGATCAAATTTTGTCAACGGGATCCGAAGGCTTGACCAAAGGATTGGATGATTCCGATTCCGGAGATGGTGGTCGACAGAAGGAGCCAAAAGTATCTTTTGATTAGGATTGAAATTCTTCAAACTTTTTTGCATGATTCTTTTTTTCTTAACGGGTGTGTTTGCTTTGCAGGTTTGGGCAGTTACAGGGGGTAGTGATGGGATTGCAGATAATTTTAATGAACTTGTTCCTGATAGGGCATTGGATTTCCCTTTTGAACTAGATGCATTCCAAAAGGAGGTAATATTAATATTAATTTGATATAAAATTAAATAGGGTTAAACTCATATACATCTTTTTGCTTTATGATTATAGGCTATATATTATCTTGAGAAAGGGGAATCAGTTTTTGTAGCAGCTCATACTTCAACTGGAAAGACTGTTGTTGCAGAGTACGCCTTTGCACTCGCATCAAAAGTACAATATCTTACTCTTGATATCTTGTCTATTCAAAAGACGTAAATGCCCTCCTCATCATAAATTGGATCATTGACCTGATTGTAACAACATTAAAAAGTTTGGTGGTGTGAGATTTAGAATTAGAAGTGGAAGGCATAATTGGAATAGTTGGTTTCCATTTATGACATTAACCCTTTTTTTATTTCTAAAGTTTTTATGCAGCATTGTACAAGGGACTTTTCTAGGAAGTTTGACGTGGGTCTTCTCACAGGGGATGTTAGTTCAACTGAATACTAAAACTTTCAACATTCTTTTAACAGAAGTGGTAATACATTTTGATCAATTTTTTATAGTAATGGTATTAGTTCATAGAGCCTTAGTGCAAAAGCACATCAATATTCTTGCCATAATTGCTCCTAGGCATCCAGATCTAGGGCAGGAGATTGCTCTTGTATGATTCCATGATTCTATATCAACTTTCTCTTTATTTATTATTATAAGTTATAACTTACTAAACTTTTGATGTTTTTTTTTTTTTAAATATTATCTATACAGGTAAATCTGATCTGAAATAATCAGATTCATCAAAGGAAAAGGAAAAGAAGGATGATGGGTCCCTGGTGCATTGACGGTTTTGCCCCTGTATGCGATGCTTCTTGGATATGAAGGAAGGGAAAGGCTTAAGAGTTATAATCCTTCTATAGTGGTAACTTATTTTTATTCAGATGTTACTTGTTTTTTTTAATAAATATTAGTGTTTTTGATAAATCAGGGCTACTCTAAGGAAAATCTTGATGGAGGAAACAAGAGTTCAGAGTATATTCATGACATTGTCGTCAAACATGCTGATCGCCATAACCTTTTGCGCCCTAAAACCGTTGAATCATTGTTTGTTCTATATCGTATCACAGAAGATTCAAAGTATGTTCTATTATTATTATTATTACTTTTTTTAATCTTGATTATATATATATATATATATATATATATATATATATATATATATTATTTTTTATGATATATATTAATTTTTTTAATGTTATTATCAGATATCGTGAATGGGGTTGGTCAATCTTCATATGGCAAGATTATTATTATCCCTGGGAACACATGTTTATCCATCGAATTTATCAAGGAACTAAGACCCCATAATGGAGTCTGCCTCAGAAAAAGATAAAAAAAAAAAGATGCAGAGGAAGTAATATGGGATTATGGGTACAACAAACAAGAGTTCAGAGTACAAAAGGCTTTTTTTTGGGTGACTAAGTATACCTTATTGACCTGTTCTGTCTTCTTTCTCATTTTACCTTTTATAAATATGTGATGAGAAAATGTTGTATTGTTTAACAGGCTTACACACATGAGCTGGAGAACAAAATCTCACGTTTGGAAGAGGAAAATGAACGACCTAGGAGGCAGATTTGTTTCTCATAGTCTTTTCTCTCTTTTTCATGTTATCTAGTCTCTTCCTTACAGGAATTGTCTTCATGGGTTTCTGGAAGCCCTTTTTCAGAAGGTTTTCAATCTTTCAACAATAACACAATCCAGAAAGACATAAATACCCTTCTACTTACTTCTTGAGCCTGAGCCGGGGTAGCAACCTTTCCGGTTCCAATAGCCCAAACATTATCCCAGTTTTTTATCTTATCTGCAAATTAAAAAAAAAAATCATGAAAATGATAGATGTTTGTTACTTTCACATTGTAAAAAAACGATTAAACAATTTAAAAATGAAAAATAAAACATATATTCATTTCCAAATCACCTGCAATTGCCTTAGTTTGTGCAGCAACAACTTTCATAGTTGTTCCAGCTTTTTCTACAAATGTTGGGGATTTTTTCTCTGGCTTTTGTTTTTCTAATTTTTTAAACCTTGCATACATTTCAAATTCAGTTCTTTGTAAATGTTGGAAATATGGATTTTATGTTGCTTTTGTAACGTGTTGTTGGTGTTTTTAGTTTTAAATAATCTTAACCTGTTTTTATGGTGAAGCAGTGTTCGCCAGAAAAATTTATGGCATTGGAAGTTACCCAAATTCTGTTGAATGCACAAGCTGTTGATGGATCTGTAAGAGGAATTTCAGGAGCAAAATCTACCTGGATTTCTATTATCTCTCTCTGGAGAACTTGCTCATGATGAGAAGCCTGTTGATAGTCGTAAACTAGCTGGTTTGATTCTCAAGAATGCTTTAGATGCAAAAGAGCAACATAGAAAATATGAACTCATCCAAAGATGGTTATCACTTGATGTGGGTGTTAAATCACAAATCAAGACATACCTATTACAGACACTCACCTCTCCTGTTCATGAGGCAAGATGAAGTGCATCACAAGTTATAGCTAAAGTTGCTGGAATAGAGATTCCACAAAAACTCTCGTCTATCAAACATTCACCAAGTCCCTGTTCATGTCAAGCAAGCCACTTTAGAAACTCTGGGGTATTTGTGTGAAGAAGTTTCTCTAGATGTTGTAGAACAAGATCATGTGAATAAAATCCTCACAGCTGTTGTTCGAGGCATGAATGCAAGTGAAGCTAGTAATGATGTAAGACTCGCTGTAACTAGAGCACTTTACAATGCTCTTGGTTTTGCTCAAGCAAATTTCACCAATGAAATGGAACGTGATTATATTATGAGAGTTGTTTGTGAAGCAACTTGTCTTGGTTTAGTTGCAAGAACAGTAGGAAATGATATTGTTCCACTTGTGATGCCTTCCATTGAAGAAAAGATAACAAAACCAGATTGGAGACAAAGGGAAGGAGCTACTTATGCTTTTGGATCCATCTTAGAAGGTCCTTCACCCAATTAGTCGACTCCTTTAGTCAATGTTGCTCTAAACCACAAGCAAGGTTGTATACCTGCATCCATCACGTGGTTTATTATTAAATAAATTTAGGGAAATAGGGTTTTTGGTTCTACGAGTTCTTATAACCCTGGTAATCAAGAACCCTGTATTCTCACTGTATCTTGCTTATGATAATCAGACGTTTCACGTGGTTTCTTTTGCTTAAGAGTGATTATTGCTGCAATTTGTGCAGTCATGGCGACTATGGTTCATGAAGGATCTTATTTTCATGAGGCTCAATTTGATTCAAAGATGAAAGAGTTGTAAGTGTCCCTCCTTGTAACATCCGGATTTTTACCAGGTATCTTGTAAGTTTAATTTTGTTATTATGTGAGAGGGACTCGGCGAGTTGGAGCTCAGACTCGCCGAGTAGGGACGCGGAATTGATCGACTGGTGCGCGCTTGGACTCGGCGAGTCCAGGGTAAGGACTCGGCGAGTCTGCGCTGTGTAATGAAACCCTAAATCTCCGGGTTTGAGGCCTATTTAAAGGGCCTTATGGCCGACTTTGTGCTCACCCAACCCCAGAGAGAGACCCTAAAGAGATCTAGAGCGTTTGTGAGGAAGGAGAGGCCAATCTTGAACTTTTGTGGGTGTTGTTGCAAGGAGGAAGTGTTCAAGGCAAGAGGAGGCTGAAGGAGGTGCGACTTTTGAGGTCTTTGTGTTCATAGAGGCTGTATTGAGGTATTATTCCCGAACCTTCTTCACTTTTGATGTGGATTCTTAGTGTTAGGGTTTTCTAACCCTTTTAGAGGTTGATTAAGCGGAGTGGTTGGTCCCTTCTCGAGTTTGTGTCTTAGATCTGGACCCAAAGAGGTCCAGAGACCTTAACCCATGGGGCTTTATGAGTCATTTTGGGAGTCTTGAGCTTGGGATGTCACTTTTGGGGCTAAATCACCATTTTGGACCATTTAGCTGTTATATGTGCGTCAAGATCTTAACTTTACGTGGTTATCATGCTTGGGGAGGCCAGATCTATGATTTTATGGAACAGATCTGACCTCAGAAGTCGTTTTGAGTTCGTGCATGGCATGAACTCGCCGAGTCCAAGAACAGACTCGGCGAGTCGTATGAAGGTTGCCCGTTAACCACTCAGTGAGTGGACTTGTCGAGTTGGGGAAATGACTCGGTGAGTCTGGGAGAGTCAGGGGTCTAAGTTCAAGTTGGAACTCGCCGAGTTGTTCTTGGGACTCGGCGAGTTGAGTCGTGGTGGCCCCACAACTCGTGCCAGGTGGAGCTCGTCTGTAACATCCCGAAATACCAAGGGTAGAGTTGAAGGGCTAAAAGAGTAATTTGGGAAAGAGCGACTCGGCGAGTCCGTGTGTGGACTCGGCGAGTAGAGTCGCGACTTGGTCGCGTGTTAAGTGGCCGACTCGGCGAGTCAGTGTATTGGACTCGGCGAGTAGGCGCTGGGTGGAGAAAACCCTAATTCCCGGGGCTGAGCCTTATATAATGATCATTATGTCTTCCTCCCAGCCTCCTTATCACCCCTTGAGCCCCAGAAAACCCTAAATCACGAAGAAGCTCCATTGTTGAATGGATTGGAGCTTGGAGGAGTAATTGTGAAGGAATTTTGGGAGATTGAAGGCTTGGAGCAAGGAGCTTTGTTTGGATTCGAGTCTCATTTCAGTTGGGGCATTCCTTTGAGGTAAAATCTCGTTTTTTTGAGTTGCTATTTCTTAGATGCATCATTTTGGGGGTGTTGGAGATCATATCTTTGGATGTATTGGAGTTTAGAGGCTAGATCTGAGGTTGCTACCTCAAATCTGGAAGGGAGAAGGTCTAGAGTGCATGAAAGTCCCTGTTTGTGAGTGGTTGATGGAGCCATCTTGTCCCAAATCCGAGCCCAATGTGCAAATGGCTTAGATCTCTTTGGATTCACGTAAAGTTTGCCACTTTACGTGATGGGTGAGTGGTAGGAGGCTAGATCTATGTCTTGGAGCAGTTGCATGGCCTGGAATGCTTCGGAATGTATTCAGACCGGCGGTACTCGGCGAGTCACATGGGTAGACTCGACGAGTTGGATGAAGATGGCCTGGAACTCGGCGAGTTGTATGAACAACTCGGCGAGTAGGTTGAAGATAGCCGTAGACTCGGCGAGTTTGTTCTTGGACTCGACGAGTCTTGACGAAGAGTCCCAAATATTTCCTGGTTGAGTCGAGAATCGGTGAGTCAAGGGATGACTCGGTGAGTTGGGTGTGAGTGGACTCAGAGTTGTGGGACTCGGCGAGTCTCGTAGTGACTCGACGAGTTGAGTCACGATATGGGGAAGTTCTGATTATGGGAACTCGACGAGTCATAGGGTTGACTCGGCGAGTAGAGTCAGCCAAGAGTTGACCGTTGACTTTTAAGGCTTAGTCAGCAATGTGGCCTTTGGGCCAAGAAAGGGGTAAAATAGTCTTTTACCCTTAAGAGGGTGCCATGAGAGGGTTGATTCTAGTCTCGAGAGTTATATTCATGAGAGTATTTGCCTTACATGTTAGGCGGTGGAGGGCTCGAGATTCAAGTGTGGGGATATCTGCTTTCTGCTTGCCAGGTGAGTCTCCTCACTATACTTTACCTTGAGTAGGTAACCAGAGTTATGTGATCAGAGTATTTGTATGCTATTTGTATGTGATGTGTTGTACTGCATTATTTCTATGTGATTTATGCTGTGCATGTTATCAGAGTTGGAACCGGAAGGTTCCCAGAGTTAGAACCTGAGGGTTCACAGAGTTTGGGTGCACGAACCCATAGAGTTATAGCCTCGAGTGGCTAATATGTATTATGGGTGGTATTTTGGGGAACTCACTAAGCTTCGTGCTTACAGTGTTTTGTTTGATGTTTTGCAGGTTTCTTTCAGTATCACGGGACGGCACCGGCTTGATTGTACACACCAGAGAAAGAGTCATATTTTGGAGGATCCTTGATACGCAATGCGTGTCGTAAACGCACGTCGTAATTGCGCGTCGTAAATGAGCGTCGTAAATGCGCGTCGTCTATAGACGACGCGCAAAAGCGAGTCGTCTCTCTTTATGATAGGGCCTTCCTTGACGCGCATTTGCGCGTCGTCTGAGCCTTTTACGACGCGCAATGAGCGTCGTAAAAGGCTGTTTTTCTAGTAGTGGATATTGTTGGTTGATGAAATTAATAAATTTATTGTTGGTTGATGAAATTAATAAATTTATTGTTGGTTGATGAAATTAATAAATTTATTTATTGTGGGTTGAAAACCCTATATGCTCACCAGGCTCCCAAGCCTGACTCACTCAGCTTTTTATATTACAGGTAGTGGACCCAAAGAATAGTTGGATGATGACAATGAATTTTTTTTATTATAGGCCATTAGATGTAAATATTTGTTGTAAGGTCTATAATATGTTGTTTATGCCTTTGGTCTATATCGATGTGGACATCCCGAGTTTTGAAATGAAATAAATATTACATTTCTTTAAGAAATGCTCTGATAAATTTTTATCATGTTTTGTTTTGGGACAAATTCCACATATTTTTATCGGAGAGATTACTCTGATTTTATTTTAAAAGCATTAACTAAATTGGTCTTTTCTGGCCGATAAATTGGGTGATGTCACACTTGCGCCAAAGTTAAGGTAGAAAATCAAAAACCCTTATGTTTACTACAAGAACCAGAAATACCTGAGTCGAAGTAGGAGCGGATTATAATGGATTTCATAACCAAGTTACCCAGGACAGAGGGTGGTCATGACACTATTTGGGTGATCGTCGACAGATTAACCAAATCTGCACATTTCCTGCCAATAAAAGAAACTGACAAAATGGAGAAGTTAACTAGGACGTACATTAAAGAGATAGTACGATTGCATGGTGTGCCAATATTCATTATCTCTGACCGAGATAGTAGATTTACCTCGCAGTTTTGGCAATCACTACAAAAAGTCCTTGGGACCCAATCTTGATGTAACATCCGGATTTTTACCAGGTATCTTGAAAGTTTAAATTTTTGTTATTTGTGAGAGGGACTCGGCGAGTCAGAGCTCAGACTCGCCGAGTAGAGGCGCGGGTTTGAGCAAGGATGCGCGCTTGGACTCGGCGAGTCCAGGGCATGGACTCGGCGAGTCTGCGCTGTGTTGAGAAACCCTAAAACCCCGGGTTTGTGGCCTATTTAAAGGGCCTTATGGCCGACTTTGTGCACACCCAACCCCAGAGAGAGACCCTAAAGAGATCTAGAGCGTTTGTGAGGAAGGAGAGGCCAATCTTGAGCTTTTGTGTGTGTTGTTGCAAGGAGGAAGTGTTCAAGGCAAGAGGAGGCTGAAGAAGGTGCGACTTTTGAGGTCTTTGCGTTCATAGAGACTGTATTGAGGTATTATTCCCGAACCTTCTTCACTTTTGGTGTGGATTCTTAGTGTTAGGGTTTTCTAACCCTTTTTGAGGACGATTAAGTGGAGTAGTTGGTCCCTTCTCGAGTTTGTGCCTTGGATCTGGACCCAAAGAGGTCCAGAGACCTTAACCCATGAAGCTTTATGAGTTATTTTGGGAGTCTTGAGCTTGGAATGTCACTTTTGGGACTAAATCGCCATTATGGACCATTTAGTTGTTATATGAGCGTCAAGATCGTAACTTTACGTGGTTATCATGCTTGGGGAGGCCAGATCTATGATTTTATGGAACAGATCTGACCTTAGAAGTCGTTTTGAGTTCGTGCATGGCATGAACTCGCCGAGTCCAAGAACAGACTCGGCGAGTCGGATGAAGGTTGCCCGATAACCACTCAGCGAGTGGACTTGTCGAGTTGGGGAATGACTCGGTGAGTCTGGGAGAGTCAGGGGTCTGAGTTCAAGTTGGAACTCGCCGAGTTGTTCTTGGACTCGGCGAGTTGAGTCGTGGTAGCCCCACAACTCGTGCCAGGTGGAGCTCGTCGAGTAGGGAGAAATACTCGACGAGTCAAGGAAGGATTTCAGGGAAGTTGGTGCATGCGCATGAACTCGCCGAGTCGCCATGGTGCACTCGCCGAGTCCGGTCAAAGTTGACCGTTGACCAGCGTTGACCAAGAGTGATTGTTATAGTGTGATCAACTTCAGATTGAGAGAGAGTTAATTAGGGATGTGTTGTGCTATAGGTGGACTTCAGCTCGGCGGGTCGAGTGTTTAGTGATTTCAGGGTTACGAGTTACCGAGACACACCCGAGGTGAGTCTCCTCTCTATACTTTACCTTGAGTAGGTAACCAGAGTTATGTGATTGAGTAATTGTATGCTGTGTATGTTATGTGTTGTACTGCATGATTTCTATGTGATTTATGTAGTGCATGTTATTCAGAGCTAGAACCTGAGGGTTCAAGGAGTTTGGGTGCACGGACCCATAGAGTTATAGCCTCGAGTGGCTAATATGTGTTGTATGTGGTATTTTGGGGAACTCACTAAGCTTTGTGCTTACAGTGTTGATGTTATTGTTTCAGGTACTAGTGACGACCGCGGGAAGGCGCCGGCTTGATCCGTACACACACACGTTTGGAGATTTTTACATGTTGATCTTGGGGATTTTTGTACTAATGTGTTGAACAGTTAAATGGTTGTTTTTATGAGAAACAAAAAGGGTTGTTTTATAAATATTAATGGAATCATGTTTTAAAAAAAAAAAAAATTGGCTTTTAAATTCCGGTGTTACAAATTGGTATCAGAGCCTTGGTTTGAGGGATTCGGGTACACCTTCGGGGGTATTTGAACTCAAACTGAGGAAATGAAGAGATATTTTCAAAATACTAAGAGTAAAAGGTTTTCCAGGAAGAAACGTGTGTACGATCAGTCAGCGCCCGAACGGTGAATTCCCAAAAATACCTTTTATTATGAAATAACTATTACTATGATGTGTTTGCATGCTAGAGCGAGCTAGGTATTGCTGATAGGACTAGGGTGGCCTGTTTTGTGATGCCGTAGCTTAGGGTATGGTGAGCTGCTATGAGATGCTGAGAGTAATTAGGTAGCAGCTAGGGCTGTGTGTGAGAATTGTTCCAGAGCGAATTACGTATAATAGAGTACTTGGGGACTGGGATCCGAAGAGGACGATTTGGGGTGTGTACGGAGACGGTGTGGACAGTAGTATTGGGCCCGTACTACTGAAAGCACCGGAGCGGTACACAGTTCAAATAAGAATCTGAGGATGCCAGGAGTCAAGGAGGGGAGGATTGTTGAATGTAAGAGTATTCGAGTAAATTCTGATTATCGCATGTTGTATTTCAGAGGTTGATCATGGTGAGGACGCGACACATGCCGGAGGATGCCGGGTCTAGTGATGAGGACATTCGGCAGATCATTCACGAGGAGGTGGCTGCGGTCATCAGAGCTGAGATACCAGAGATGTTCGGGTCTATTAAGACCGCCCTGATTGAGACATTTGATGAGCGCTATGCCGCTCTTTCTGAGGCCGCGGTCGCAGCAGCTACCGCAGCGATTGCTGCGGCGAGACCCCAGGGAGGTGATGCGACGTTATTCAGGGAGTTCAGCAACACCAAGCCACCAGAGTTTGATGGTACGCAGGACCCGGTGGCAGCTATGAGATGGATATCCGATATGGATGGATGCTTCTTCACTTGCTCGACCCCTGAGCATTTGAAGGTCCGGTTCGCACTGAACCAGCTTCGCTTGGGAGCGAAGGACTGGTGGAAGTTTGTGTCTGCACATTTCTCACCGACTGAGCTTGCGGCAGTGACCTGGGAGAGGTTCACTTCCATGTTCCGGGATGAGTACGTTCCTCAGGTGGAGAGGGAACGTCTGGCGCAGGAGTTTTTGACCCTCAAGCAGGGTACTGAGTCGGTTACAGCGATTACGAGGATGTTCCAGGAGAGGGCGATGTTCTGCCCTGAGCACGTGTCCTCCGAGCAGGCACGTATGAGCCGTTATCTGAGTATTTTGAGGCGGGATATTCGGGAGTTCGCTGCGAACTCCTCGTACCGGACATTTGCCGAGCTTCAGGCAAATGCTCGGAAGAGGGAGATTGAGCTGGAGACCCAGGCTAGGGAGGAGGCGGAGTCTATGGGGAGGGATCGGCGACCGGCACAGTTCCAGCCGGCAGCCAAGCGGGCCAAGCCCGCTGATCCCAGACCCGGGAGTCAGAAGGGCCGCACATGTGGGAAGTGCGGCAAGGGTCACGATGGCGCCTGTCGGGCAGGGTCTTGCTACAAATGTGGCAAGGAGGGGCACATGGCCAAGGACTGCCCCAAGGGATTCGCAGTGTGTTTCCACTGCAATCAGACTGGACACCGGAAGGCGGAGTGTCCGCTGCTACGAGGGGCATCTCAGGGGACTGCTCCCGCCGCCATCAGAGCTGCTACTACAGAGAGTCGGCCTGTGAAGACCGAGGCACCGAGGGCTCGGGGGAGAGCCTTCCAGCTGACTGCGGAAGAGGTCCGCGCTGCACCCGACGTCGTGGCTGGTATGTTCCTTTTCATTATTTATTTTCGGTGTTGAGATATCATGCTTATATCATGCTATGCTTAGGTACCTTCCTTGTGAATTCTATACCCGCTTTAGTGTTATTTGACTCGGGTGCGAGTCGATCTTTTGTATCCTTGGCATTTAGTCAGCATATCAGTGTTAGTCGTGGAGTGTTGAGTCGGCCTCTGCGGGTTTCCATAGCCGCCGACAGGGTGATTTGTGCTACAGAGGTTTTCCGGGGATGTGTATTGGAGATATTCGGGGTCGAGTTTCCGATCGATCTGATTCCGATTGCGATGGGTGATGTTTGTGTTATAGTAGGTATGGATTGGTTGAGCCGTTTCGGTGCGGTTATCGATTGCGAGCGACAGCTGGTGACTATTCGAGATCCTAGTGGGGGAGTTCTTTCGGTATACGGCGAGGGTACACGTTCTGGATCAGCCTTTTGCTCGGCTGCTAGAGCAAGGCAGTGTTTAC